TTGAGCTCCTTTGCTCTTTTTGTCTATTTGAAAAGAAAGTTCACTCTTATTTTGGCCAACTCGAAATCTTTGTCCTCCATGTTCATTTCCAAGACTTTGCAAACTTCTGAGGGCAAGTGAATTGCATGCCCTCGCGGGTGACCGCATTGCGCAGCACGTTCTAACAAATCTAGCGGTGATCTAGGAATGCCCACATGCACCAACTCTACCGTGTGATCTTCCCTGAGGTCATTTGAAACTTTCGACAGCCTTTCGGACTTAACTTCTAGGTCTTCGGCCCGAATACTCCCCCACTGAAGGAGCCGCCGATGAGCTATCTGAGACCCGGCAGGGAAGGCTTTGGACACAAGAGCTTCGACGTGTGGTTCGTTTGGCATGCATGCAAGGGCAGCATAACGATTAAACTCGGACACCAAGGGTTTGTATTTCTTGCCTCTGGGCAGGGCATCCAAAAGAAGTCTGCGCAAGGATTGATGGGTTTGCTGCTGTTGATGTAAGTCACAGATAGTGTGGGCTCCTTGGCTAAAAGCGTGCTACGCCAAGATGCTGGCCAAGCGTTCGCACAAGAGCTGAGGGTACGCAGCTTCTTGCTGGGTGGGAAATACCAGGTAACCGTCGACAACGCGTGGAACCCATGCAGCATGAGGGTGGGATCCATCGCATGTCAAAGCTAGCTCCATGAACACGGGCTCGGACGCCCACCAGCAAGTGGACTTTTTTCTTTGGCCTCCACGCGAACAGTTGTCAAAAATGCATTTGTACCCGCCCACCTCGGCAAGCAATTGCCTGACCTCTGGCACCAACCAAAACAAACAAGTCTCCGGATTCTCGATCGAACAAAGAACTTGCCATTGGATAAGGGCTCGGCGCAAAAGAGTTGTGTTAGCATAGATCTGGTTGGCTGTTTCGGCTCTGATTTTGTCAGCTCCATCGAGCCCGTCTACACCGCAAGGCTGACAAGACCGCAGGGACTTGGGAACAGGTAAGCCACGCGCTTCGAAGGTGGCGAGAGGTTTGCTTCGAGCTTGCGAAGCTGTGCCACAAGGCGGTGCAAAATGGACCCACACCAGGCGATCTTTGTTTGCTTCCAAGTACTCCAGCAAGCTACCTGTGTCATGCTCTGTGGATATATCGAACGCTGCGATATGTGTGCCTTCCGACCGGCATGGGTCATGGTCAACTGCAACGACTTGGAAACCTTTGGTTTTCACTGCTTGGGTCAGCCTTGCTGTGCCGGCAAAAACTTCAACAAACAGGAGATGCTCAAAGGGCATCCCAGAAAATTTCGAGGCTTTATCAGCCCCTGCTGCGTTTTGCAGCTTGCGTAGTTTGACTTTGACACGGTTGACGTGCAAAGCTGTTGCCTCTGCGCGCTTCTTTCCGTCACAAAAGCGAGGAAGCAAAGGCGAGGCAGGCTGTGACTCATGGAGCCTTGCGTTTAACGCACTTTGTGACTCGGTCGGAGGAACAAGGCTCGTCAGTGAACCTGCTGCAGGAAAAGTCTCGGGCTCAGCGACATCTGTACCACCTTTGGGTGAAGTCAGAGGTGCCTGGCCGGCCTCGGAAAAAGAAAACTGGGACAACTCACACGAACGCTTCGTGGAATCTCCTTGACTGCTGTGTGAAATAAATAACATGCGTATGCCCAATCCCTCGACTGGGCAAGTTGGCGCCAATGCGGCTTAGCACGGCACGTGACCAAACTATGGTTAGTCCGGCCACAGTCGATGCACTTGTGCACTCCTTTCTTGCAACAACCATCTTTGGTGGACTCCTTACACCCTTCAAATTATAGGCCCAACAAATTGGTTTGTTGTCGGAATCAACTTGCTTATACTGCCTTAACTCAGCTGGGCATAACGACTTAGCTTTGGCCGAAGGCTTGAACTGTTTCTTGACCCGCCTGACGAGAGTTGGCTGATCTTCATCGCCGGTTGGCAAAGCGGCTGTGACATGCTTTGGTAACGGCAAGAGGTGCGCTGAAGGCTGAGCATCGGCGCTTTCATTGCGGCATCCATCGGCGAAGGGGTTCCTGCGAATCTCTTGCCTGAACCTTGAAAGTCTTCGGCCATGATCAAGAACATTTGCTGATCTGCTCTCACCAATTGTTCAATCCATACTTTAAAATAACCTGCAGGCGCTTCTCTCGAAACCAAAGACATCAACTGCTGCGCCCACTTTGGTGGGTGTTCCACTCGATTAGCCGGCACTGATCAAAGGCGATGCCTCTCCTTTGAAGAGCACACTGCAAACGCAACTCAATGGTGGTGTCAACCTTGAGATTGACCTCCGGACTAGTTACTTTGAGGATTTGCTGCTCGATCGCCAAAGTCTGCGTCTTTTCTTTGGTAATCTGCTGTATCTCGGCTTCTCTTTTCGAGCATTCCGAAGGGCTGATCCAAATCACAGCATTGTTTTCCACCATGGAGGCTGCTAAGTCAACCAGTGCGAAAAAAAGGTTGCAATTCTCCTGTGATTGAAAGTCCTGCAAGCCTCGCCTGTTGTTGGACAAGGCGAGCTTGTTTTTCAGCTACAGGTAGCTCATCGTGACGGCTTCGAAGTGCAACCTACGAACTTTTGCTATTTCTGACATGGTCAAATCTGTCCCTAAGTTCAATGCAACGGCAAAACGCCTAAATTCATCTTCTGAAGGTGGCGATTGCGGTGTCCCTATTGCAATCGAAAGGCGGGAAAACGTGGTCGGGCCGTTCGTGTTCATGATTCGCTTTAGCCATCCTGACTCATCAATCTTATCACAGTGGGTTTCAAAAAAGGCAAAAAGAGGCAACGGAATCCACCAAGGCCATTGCACCGGCAGATTCGCACACACAAGGCCTTGTAAGCCCAAACGCGTCTACATGGCTGAATAAAAACAGTGCTACGTTTGAGAAAGAAACACATGTCACATGTCGCTTGAGCCGGATGTCCTTCACAACGTCTGTGATCCTTGACAACGCGTTCAAATTGTTTTCTCGACGTTGCCGGCTAGGTCTCTTTGCATTGCAAAAACGAGGCCGAAGCTTCTAAATGTGACACAAACATTTTCAGCGTGACGTTGTTGAAACACTGCTTGCACGTTGATTGGTCGAAGCTTCCGTCCACTCTCTCGTGGACTTCTGTTAGCTTGCGGCTGCACATACCCTCATTTACCAAATGGATCGTTCCTAGCATTGTGTGTTTCCGAGCATGTGTCCCTTGAGGAACTTCCAAGTCTCTGTAGGTGTCACTCGGGAGCACAACAGGTTCGTCCTCGCTTGAAGAAGAATTCGACGTTGTCACATGTCCCTCTGACTGGTCTCCTGTAAATGTTTCCTCGTCCTTGATTTCAATCACGCCTAAGCTGCATGAAGCTCCTTGCTACGTGTGATGGCTGTGATGGTGGCTTAGTCAGCCTGCCGCCCCTAGTGCTGTCAGGTGCAAAAACTCCCGCACGAATCTCTTCCAAAACGTCGCTCAGCACTTGCAACGGTCTTGCTGCTCCGTCCCTGCTATACGTCAGTGGCATTTTCAAACAACTTGCCTGGTAACCTAGCGCTAAACGATCTTCAAAGCTACACCCACGCGCTTTGCAAGGTAGCTTAGGCATGTACTCTTCAACGAATGAAATACCGGACATCAACTGGGCTAAAGTATTGGGCGACAATCAAGTTTATCCAGTTTCCTGCTTCTTGGGTTGTGAGTGGCCTCTGCTGGGGCAGGCCGTCCTTGTCTGGAGCTGGCACCAACGGAAAAGTAGATAGATTTGTTATGCCTAAACATTCTCGCGCCTCAACCCAGCTTTCAGCCCAATTTTCCACAGTGATTCCCACACCCGGCGCCGCCATAGGAAGAAAAACATGCCTCAGATGAAGGGCTCGACAAGTCAGTTCTGTGCACAGCTGCAGGACCTTCAACACACGCAGCCTGTCCTTTACTGTCTTTGTCTAGAGGCAGTTTTTCACAATGCTGCGCATCACGCCATCGCGCCCTGGCATACACACAGAAAAGGGCCATGCCATGCCACTGAAACACCGGGTCCAAATCTCGGCATCTTCTTTTAGGGCCCTGTGGATGGCCAACAAGTGCTTGACCATCAAAGGCGGAGCTTGACGCGGCATCATTTGACCTACCAAACCTGCAGCGAAATCTTGGCACTTTCTGCTCTTACTCCTATAACGCGCCTGCAGAAGTTCAAGCTTTCCAACAAGGCTTTGAGTCTCGAAGCCGGAGCCCCGGCAGACTTTTCAAAATGCAAGAACTCATACAATTAGTTCTTGCTCGGTACAAGGGAAGCAACCTCCGGCTTTGTTCAAATGGTTCACAAGCCTGGCTAAACTATTGCACTGCTTCAGCAAAGTCGACAGGGCTTTGTTGAAAAAAATGTCCACCAAAATCTGCGCTTGAGACTTGAATTCTTCTTTCCGCAAAAGTTCGGCTACAATTCGAACGTCTGGGTTCCAGGTTAAAGTGCTAACCCTCCATCGTCGAATTGCCTTTTCCCATTGAGCTTCTCTTTGCTCCCTCCAAGACAAGTCGGACAAGTTTTGCACGACGCCTTGAAAGCCAACATGATGTTTTTGACGTTTCGGAGGTTTGTGAGAACACATTTCACCCTGTAGATCTGGTTAGACAAAAAATTGTCTCAGAAAGTTGACTCATGTTTTTTAACTAATTAGATTAAAAAACAAGTTATCTAATTAGTTTTAAAACAACTATTTAGATAATTTTTGAAGTTCAAAAGTGAAAGTTTCAATTTTAAAATTGAAAGTTTACTCCTTTCAGCAGAAAATCTATATAGGCAGTGCATATTTATAAAGCCAAACATACAGACATTTCACCAAAAAACAAGATGTAATGCTAAACAAAACGGCATACATTGCACAAACAACCCAGTGCATTGGAAAAATGACACCATGCTTTGCAGCAATAATCCTACACACATTCCACCCCAAATCCTAATAAATGGCCAGGGCCACTCCATGCTGTGCAGCAATAATCCTACAGGCAAGGCACAAATAATCCTAAGCACTGCAACAAGAATCATACTTGAGCGCAAACAAATGCTTTTTGCCATCTGCCAGATCCAGGGCAAAGGACATTCTCCAATGCTCCAAGAGTTTCTGACCAGCCTGCAAGGGAGGGGTGCCCTTTGAGCAGTTCCTGCAGATCTTGCGAGTGATGCCCATGTAGTTCTCAGCTGAATAACACCATACCACTCTTGGTGATATGGCATGAGCATACTCACAAATGTGAATGAGCATGTGCAATTTGGAAGTGCAAATGAACATGTTGGGAAGTCTCACCTCATCCTCTGAAGCAAAATGCTGGGAGAGGTCCCACATGAGATGTGACATGATATAGCAGTTGTTCTTCAACTCCAAAGCATCTGCCCTTGAAAAGGACAGCTCATGCTTGTTCTTTGCCATGAGCTCCTCCATGGTGCAATTGGCCAGCAGCATGGCTCTGATCTTGCGATGGGTCGCACAATGTGGGTTGTAGTGTATTTCCCACACATGGGCCAAAGGCAACACCAAGCCCTTGACTTGAGCAGCCTTGCCTTTCAATTTGCAGGTGTTCTTCTTGAGGAACATGCTGATCTTGCTCAGATCATAGAAGCAATCCCTGATGCCCAATGCCTTGTAGGCTTGAGAGATTTGCTTCCAAATGGGTCAAGTAGAAAAAACTGAAGAGAGCAAGTACTGGTCTGTCCCAAGGTGTTTCACATGCATCCAATCCAACTGGGCATTGAGCCCTGACAAACCAGGCACTTCCTGAAACAGCCTGCATGGGGAATGTCCACCCCACAAATGCCAAGACTGAGGTGTCCAAGCCTCTTCATGCCAGGGAGCTGAACTCTTGAAGTTGCTCCATGACCATGCTTGGTAGCTCTGCAATGAGGGCAAAGATTCTCAACTGCTGACCATCTAGGAAGGGAAAGGCTGCTTGCAAAATATTCTAGGTCGCCTTCCAGGGCAGTGAGCACACCACAATATCCAGACGCCAAAGGGAGCCCTGCCTTCTGCCCCAGGATAGAATCAGGTGGATACCTCAAAGGCCACAGATGAGAAGCAATAATCCTAGCTACAGAAACTTTTGGAAACATGCTTCAATAACCCTACCAACCACCACTAACACAAACAAAAAACATAAACAAGTTCTTGCTACACAAAAAGGCACATTGCATTGTTCCAGTCTGCAGCTGGCCAAACACCATAAAATAAAGTTTTGAAGCTCCAGGCAATGATCTTGAAGACAGCATCCAATGTACCACCATCTCCAGGTTTGAAAAACTTCTGGTAAGCAGTCCAGATCAGCATATGACAAGCTCTAGTGCCACCTGTTGCCAAACAGCCATGCCAATTGTAACATTCCATCAGCTTCCCCCAGCACTTGCCAATCCCCACAGTTGGCACACCATCGCCATGCAAGGCAACTGGCAATGATTTTCTCAGGTTTCTGGATAGCACTGCTTGGTTTCCTGCCATTGAAGGATGCAGCTTGCATTGCTTCCAAAAAGTGTCCACTTGCTTTTGCCCACCTGGCATAAACATTTGTTGCCATCTGTCATTGTGCTTTTCAAAAAGCCAGGCAAATATTTCATGTGGCAAGAGGACGCTCTGGAAGTGTTTTGCACCATCCTTTGTAAATGGAATTTGGCACAGCTTAGCTTCAGGCACAAAGCACTGTGCTGACAACAGTTTCATCATGTCCCTGTGGACATTGTTGCTGTGCACACCTTCTGGTCCCAACTTCTGAAGGGTCTCCAAAGGCTTGGGTGTAGAAGAAGGCTTTGCTCTCTCCAAATCAAGGGCAGCTTGGCTGGCCAGGTGCTGAACCTCTTGTCCACTCAAGGTTCCAATGCAAAACAATTCCTGCAAAGCTGTTGCCAATGCTGAATGGTTTGCTGGCTGGTCCTTGTTCACTTCTTGGGCAGCAGCTCTGTGTAATCTTTGCCTTTGGCCTCCAAACCTTCGCCTTTTAGGCAAGCTTTCTTCCTCACTGTCCATAGCCCCATGGCTGGCACCCTCGAGGCTTCCAAACCTAACCAAATATTACAGCTGAACATGAACATGTGTTGGGGATCAATCTCAAATAATCCTACAACAGCAAGAAATAATCCTAGACACACCAGCATGTGTTGGGAATCAAGCTCACATAATCCTACAACAGCAAAAATAATCCTAGACACACCAGCAATAATCCTATCATCCTATGACAGTGAAGAACATTTGATTGAAACAATGCTCCACAATAGTTTAATCCAAACAGTTGCGAGAATGTTTTCCTGGAGTGAGCATATCTGGTGTATGCTTGGCTTTACAAGCTCATGTGCTGCAGTCAAGCAGAGGCTCTACTAAACTAGTTTCCCAAGGGCTCTTGCAAACAACAAAGTGCCTGATGGTTTCACCATTGAAATATCCAACAGAACAAATTACAACAAAATTGTCTTTGGGAATATATATATATAATGTATTCATGCCACAGAACAAACTACACAACTTAGAGCCCTCGAGCTTTGACCAAGGCTTTCAATTGCTCCAAAATCTGATTGGCTTTCTCTGTGTCATCAGCCATGTCCTTGAAGAACTTCATGCAATTGTTCTGGGCCATGCCACCAGGGATCTCCTGCAAAGCAAGCAGTCAACACAAGTCTTGCGCACAATAATCCTGCAAACCAAATCCATATCAATCCCACAACAATAATCCTATGGCCTTACAAATTCCTACCATGCCAACCCTGAAGCTTCACTGCACCACAATAATCCTACAATGAAATGCCAAACAAAATGTTTCAACGTGGCTCCTGCCACATCTGGCAATCCATCAGCTTGTTGGTGTTTGCATTGAGCAAGGCAACACATTCCTTCAACATATTGGGAAAATGCTCATCTTTGGTAGCTTTCAACTTGCTGGCATACCTGCCAGAATCTCGAAGCAGCCTTTCTTGTGCTGACTTGGCATCAGCAACCTGCTTTTCCACAGCAGTCCACTTGTACATGACTTGCTGCCTGGGAGCATCTTGAATGGCCTTCAAGGCCTTTGGTGCTGGCATGTGTCCACCAGGCATGGGAAACTGAGGAGCTTCTCCTGGCTGGGAACTTGAAGAAGGGTTGAAAGCCCCTCCAACAACTGCCAATGCAGCATCCCTTGAGTGTTGCCCAAATTTGGCAAATGGTCTGCTCTCCACGAAGGTTCCCAGGGCATCAAACTCATTTGCCTCCAAAGACACCTCACCACCATCTGCCTTCATGCCAGTCCCTTGGGTCTTCTTCCTGCCACTGGCCACTTCAGCCCAAAAGTACATGCTGCCTTTCTGGATGAGGTCACCAGCAGCCACTGCTTGATCAAAAGCACTTTCATTTCGCTGAAAAATGCCCCACAAGATCAAGTTTTTGGCCATGCCCTTGGTCTGGCCATGCCCTTGGTCTGGGCTTGTGAGAACTGGGAATCATGCTGTTCCACCCAATTCTTCCATGTTGCATCATGGTGCACATCACCATCCTGCCAGTCTTGGATTTGGTGAACAGCCTGTTGATCAGCTGAAGAGTCTTTTGCCAACTGTTCCAGCTGAATTCCCACCCTTCTCATACATTTCTTTGATGTCAGCTGGGGTGCCACCAGAAGCTACCAACCTTGCCCACTTTCGAGCTTTTGCATAGTCTCGCTTCTCTTCTTCCCCATCACCATCAACTTATTGAAAGAACCCCAGTAGTTTTGGGCAGCGCTTGGCTTCCGGACCTTACAGAGTGGGATAAATATATTGAAAGATGGATTTAGGATTTAGATATATGCAGATGGATTAAGATATATTAAGCTGGATTAAGCTATTTGGTGCTTAACATTGCTTAACCATGCAATACCAGGCACTATCATGCACCATCTTATAGTCTCATGCACTCTCTCACACCACTAAGATACAATTATATCAAATTATTTCCCTTTCATGGGGTGATCCAGGTGATCCTTGTCAGGCAACTTCAACATACTTCAACACTTCATCAAACAGTATCATATTACACCAAGTTACACCATGTTATACCAAACATCATCTTACAATATCCTACATCAAAGATCATCAAACGTTTTTCCATCGCTTACCAACGTGCAGTCGTCTGAAACTATCCCTGTGAAACATGCTGGCCACATCTAGCCACCATGCATCATCTTATATCTTATATCATCATATCATATCGCGTTCAAAAAATGTACACATATATACAAATATAAACATATTTCATGTTGAGTCACACTATCACATTATGTCATATCATGTCAACATGTCCACAGTTCTGAGAACAAAAAAGAAACGAGCATACACCAGCAATTGCCTTTCATGATCATTTGTGACCAAAGTTCAATGACTCTGCCGTTTCGCCCCCAATTCCAAAGCTTGTAGGGCAGTGTCGGCTTTTTCTTGACCTTGGAATCCTTCAAGTCCTTGGATTAGCAAACGTGAAGGACCATGACAGACATGCTTCATTTTCTTCCCCTCAGGAGCTGCGGCAACGAGGTGAGACGGGGAGACGGCCGGGAACTATCTACACGGGAGCATGCTTCATTTGCTGAAAACAAGTTCTATCGTGCTCCATCCCCAGCAACATCAGCTTCAATGGAAAACATCTACTTTTGCAAGTTTGTAACAAAGTAGGTGTTGAACGTTGAAGGGTCTTGTGTTTTGCAACGCTTTGCAGAAGACACTGGGGTATACTGGGGTGCTCTTGGGAGTCTTTGCCTTCTACCATCTTCCAACATCTACCAAAGTCTAACAACCTCTATTAACCTCGAAAAAAAATAAAAAAAATTAAAATATTATTTACCCTATTTCACTAGTTTATCATAGTTTATCCTATCAAGCAAAAAAAAGCAAGCATATGCAAATATATGCAAGCTTATGCAAGCATCCTTCTGGGTTTCACGACGCTTCTTGCTTTCCAGGGCGGTGGATAAGATGTCATCCAAAGGCACATTGTACTCACCGGTGATCTCACAGACCTTTGCTCATATTTGAAGACTGAATAGAACTATATGGAACTATTAAACCTGCACGGCGCTTTATGGTACGTTAAAATTATGTCCTACAATTTGGCAACGTAAAAACAAAAAAACCTGAAACAACATGAAACAACAAAACATAAAACAGAACTCACACACATAAAACATATTAAAAAAATTACAAATAATCTACACAACCAAACACACGATAAACACAGAAATCCACAGTCAAGCGATTGTAAGAACATGTTAAAACATGTTAATACATGTTACTAGTATATTAGCATCCATAAATCCATAAGCATGCGCAAAAGCATGCAAAAACAAACATCATCAAACAACAAACACCATTACATTGTAAACCAAATTTAAAAAAATCGGACTGCACCATATTGCACCCAACCACAGCTTTTCGAAGAACACTCAGATCATCCTCAGACGCTCTGGAGACACATACGGAGCTGGAGATTCCTAAATATGCGCCCTCCTTGCTCCTGTGTTAGACCCTCCCGGCCTGCTTGTGGTAGCCACAGAACGGGGCCAGGTCCCTCAAAGTCAGCCCTTTCTCAGCAGCTTGTGGAGAGGCACAGTCATGGCAGTCTTAGCAGTGACCAAAGGGTGTTCAAACTCACCTGCTAGATATGTTGGTATATGTTGGGATTTGCTGCTACATCATGCAGTATCATGTTCATCAGGCCACATAGGGCCACATCTACGATGTCCTGTATCAGTATATGATACATTCAATTATAATATGCTATTTATGATGCCCTATGAAACCCTATGACATCCCATATCAATTTTTTTTGCCTGTCTCTTCCAGAGCAGCGGCGACGAGGTGAGACGGGGAGCAGGTCCGGGAACTATGTACACTGGAGCTATAACATCCTATGGTCTCCTGTTTGTTGTTTATTGTAAACAAAAAATAATGCACTATAATGTGTAGGATGTTGTAAGTTTTACATATAACATCATATAACATCATCTAGTCATATATAATCATATCGTGTCATTGATATTGATTGGCTTGCTATGGCCTAATGTTTCAGAACTGTTCCGCCCATGACCCTAGTACATCCTAGTCCACTGATCCACTGATGACTCCAAAAACACAAGTCCAACAACTGCAGCGGGCTTCCATTCCAAACGCACTGGGCCTGGTTCCAACCGCCGTCAAGATCTTTGAGGCCAGTGCTGCGAAAGCACCTGCCAAGGGAAGATGGAGGAAGATGGACGAAGAAGAGGAAGAGCTTGATGGATGTAAATGGGTGTGTGATGGTTTGTGCGATGCATATACCTACATATATCTACATATCTCTCTGCATATCTCTACATACACCTACCACCAATTGGCACTTTGTGGCACCTTGTTCTATTTTTTTTTCTGATCGTCGCTTGTGGCAAGTACATGATGCGAAGATACACAAAGGAAAGAGACACTGTAGCATACTTGTGGGATGATGTGGGAAAGCATCCGCCGCCTTTGAATGCCTTATATTGCCATATAAAATCTTATAATGATATATAATTCCTTTGAACAACATTGAGTTGCCGTATGTCGCTGAGCAGAACCGCTCATGATCCTAGTCCACTGATCCGCTGGTGATATGATGACGTTTGATGATGTAAAGTATCTTAAAGTTACTTTCAATGACTCCCAAAAACACAAACCATTACAAATCCAACGCGTTCCAACGCAGAAGCGCCCAAGTTAAACACAAGATAACATAAGATAGCACAAGGTATAACACCGCTGCTGCTAACACGCTGAACGCACCATGGGTTCTCATTCTCCTCCTTTCTCCTCCTCATCCAGGGGCATGGCAACTGTGGGGAACATGGATGCATGTGCAAAGGTCGAAGCCATAAAACTTGTGCGGTGCAGTAGGATTTTTTCATCAAACATCATCAAACCACTTATTATAACCACTTCAAAGCCATACCAGTCACTCAAAATACATGGCCCTATATGGCACTCTTAAGTCCTCAGTTCATTCTCATCGTCAGGTCTGTG